ATATGCTGACTCTGTAAACCGCTTAGAGAGGGCTGAAAGCCCTATGAAGCGGTATATAAGTCTAACTGCTATTGCTATTATAAAGAACAGGAAGCTCCTGTTCGTATTGTATTGTGTAAATGTGGTGTACGTCTTAAGTTTTGTGTGTGTGTGTATTTTACATGTTTGTTAATAAAAATCTTTTTTTTTTAAAGATACTAAAATAGTACAGCATAGTCTTTATTGTCATTCTACAAAATAAATGCAGCGAAAATAGGTCAGGAGAAATCCGGCGCTAAGGTGAGGCCATGTTTGTCTTTGAAAGCCAGACAAATATGGAATTTCTTGGTGCTCTGAGCTCGGTGCTTTCTTAGCAGATGTTTTATTACCCAAGTAGGTAACATCATCAGTGCTAGAAGGGAGAGAGGAGGAGAGGGAGAGAGGAGGAGGACTGTGGGGTCCTTAGAGCTCTCTGAGCTTGGTGGTTTGTTAGCAGGCGTTTTATTACCCAACTAGCTAACAACATCAGTGGTAGAAGGGAGTGGAATACCAAACACGCCCGACAAGACTGCCCTTATGCAATTCACTTCAACCAGGGGGGGTCTTGCAAGCAACATTCTCAGCCCTCCAACACCCAGGAGATTCCTCAAGGCCACGAAGTTTCGACAAGAGTCTAGCACTAGAAAAGAGGTAAAAAGGGAGGATGGGGAGGAAATAAAAACTCTCTCATTAGACCAGCTACATTTTCGTTTGGGACGTCCCTTGGTCCAGGACGGTCCCATTTCTCCCCCCCCCCCCATCGAAACGATCGGCTGATTATGTTGTGAAATTAAATGATTTCCATCGCGTGGGCTGCAACTTGTAAACTGGAGCTGGGGAAGCGTTTAGCTGGATGGGACTGCCTCTCCTTCTGGATTATTTCCACACAGGAAGCTGCATGTCTCCAGCAAGTACATCCCTGCACGTAACACAAACACACACAAACACACACACAGAGCTGTGCGTGGCCCAGAGGTGGGTTCCTACCAGTTCGCACCTATTCGGTAGAACCGGTTCGTCAAATCTACCGAACCGGTTAGAAGAGGTTCCACCAGTGG